CTTTACAAAACTAACATCACTCCTGCATTTGCAGGAAACGGGCATTGCACTAGGGCATTAAAAGTAAAAAAAAAATAGTTTTTCTAAGAAACAAACACTTGCTTCATTTAGACATGAGCAAATTCCACTATTTTGGTTTTCTTCGTTCTAAACCAACAAGTATGTTTCTCAATGGAAATGCGAGCGATTGAAGACACCTTTTTTTTTTTTTTTTTTTTTTTTTTTTTAGCTGTTGCGCTTTTTAAGGATGCTTGAATTCTGTCTGAAGTGACCTGAATTGAACCACTTCAGACATAGCAGATAAGAAAATAAACTTTATGATGTAAATCTAAAATGCTTTAGCTTGACTTCCCACTGAAATAGCATCGTTTATAGAAAAAATATTGTCATTATACAAATACTTAAGCTTAATTACGAAATCTTTGTAATCAGATATATTAGGGTATTTCTGCTGCAAAGCCTCTATTGCAAGTGATGTATATAATTTCAAAAATTGTGTTTAGTAGTCAAATAATATTCTAAGAGAATAATCAATGATTTAAATATTTTAATATGAATTGTTTTTGATTAATTTGAATGAATAAAATATTTTGATGATGTGATATCATCTAAAGTAAATTACTTTGAGAATTACTTTTACTCTGCGCCATATTTCTTTAAGATGTGTTTTGTTATGACCCTCCACAACTTTTTGTAGCTCTTAGTAAAGTTTATCTTATCACTGCTAGTCTCTGTTCTACCAAACACATACATCAGCTCGTTAGGTAGGTTATTCAGCACTTCTTTCTCACTTACCTTCAATATGTCCCATGAGGATCAAGTTCTCCAAACCCTTTTACTAATTATGTGCCCTAGAAATTTCAATTGTTTTGTTTTTTTTCTGATTTCGTTTTCTTTTTTTCCCCATTTTCCTTTAAATTTCGTCGTTACTCACAGATTCACTTCTAAATTCAATTCTCGGCACCCTGCTGTAGAACCACATTAGTTAGATTTGTTGAAAACTTTCCAAGGAAAGCTATCTTTAATTTAAATTGAAAACTACATTAAAAGCCACCTCATCGGGCGACGTTTAAGCTGACTCCTGCAGAGAGCTCTTGATTGAGCCTTCGATTTTTTTCAGGATTTTGAGAGTCCCTAAGCCTCTGCATATTCACAGCACTGGAAGCTCTCTTGGCTGCCGGTTGATCTGGGTTTTCATTTGCACCAGACTTTCTTTTCCTCCCTTGGCTGTTTTGATTACAATCTGGTCCTCTGTCGGCGGAGATTTCTTTTTGTGAGGCATATTGCTGGCGTATGCGATGAGCAGCAATAAACTACAGAACTCTAAATTAATCGCTGCATTTAAGTATTGCATTAATATTTAAACTTACCTTTTAAAATTCAACGATAACACTTCTGTCGCCACTTAATTCAAAGAAAATCTAGTGTACGTAGGTCCCTACTTTCCTACAAACAATTATTATTTCATGGCTGACTTTCGTTGAATTTCGCCATTAATTTCAATTATTGCCAAATTTATTTCCAATTTATAAACATTGTTATCGTACAAAAAAAAATCGTCTTAAAAAACCACGTAAAAAAATCGCCGAAAACAATCGCAGTAAAGAAAATTGGGAATTCAAAATTTCAGGATTGTGGGCCCAGATCAGGTCCGGAATATTTTTTAATTTGCTCACGGAGTTGGCCTGATTCCAATATTGTATATGTTGGGCTACAGCTTCTAGGTGTAAAGATGATAAAGTGTGACACACTGATATTTGCATTTATTTATATAGATAACTCAAAAATGAAAATATTGTTTTAGTGAAATATTTTTTTTTTTTTTAAGCATTTCACCCCAAGCAAGGCGGGAAGCCACTAGGACGCAAGGGGTTACAGAAAATTTAGAGCAAGATCAGATAGGAGTGATAAAAGAAAGGATGAGGTTAGTGGATAGATCAAGGCAACTGGAGATGTCGATTGACATTACACTTGAATAGCTGGAGATTATAGCTCACAGGGAAACAGGAATGGGGAAGGGAGTTCCACAGGCGAGAGAGTGAGACATGAAGCTATTAGAGTAGAAGAGACGGCTACATTTAGGAGTTTCGACAGTGAAGGGGTGAGAGCGGGATGCCAGCCTCGTAAGGCGCTGGAACTCATGACGTCTGGGAACCAGCGAATGCAGCTCCTCGGAGCAATTTCCATGAAAGTATTTGTAGAACATACAGAGGGAGGCGACGGCGCGTCTGTGTGAAAGTGCCTGTAGACGAGACGCCAGGGCAGGGCCAACCACATTGCATATCCGCCTCTGGAGCCTATCAAGAACCCCGAGGCAAACAGAAGGGGCACCAGACCATATATGGCAGCAATACTCCATGCAAGGGCGAATGGTTGATTTGTAGATCTGCAGGATCGACTCCGGGAAGAAAAACTTCCTAGCGCGGCTCAGGGAGCCAACTTTCCTTGCAGTGGACGAGGCAATTGACTAATCTTAAAAGGTGACTTTTTATATATGAATCATGATTATTACATTCAGTGAAGTAATGCTATAAGTATGACACAATTCTTATTTATACAAAACTTCTCACTATTTGATTACTTACAAGAATGAAAAACGGAAACCATTGTTTACTTTGGAAGCCATTTGTTAAACGGTTTTCACTGTTCAGGATTTGCGATTGCACGTTTCAACGAGTTAGGCTAAATTCAATGAGTGTGAATTATGCTCATTGAATTTAGCACATTGTGTAACATGTTTGTCAAGATATGGCGTTTTTACAAGAGGTAAAATTTTTACCTTGAAGATGTATAATATTTTTGCCTTAAAATATAAGTAGAATTAACCATTATTCATAGTCTGGACAGAACATTCTTATGCGATTCATGTTCTACAGACGATGAGGTAAAGCTTGTTTATTGGAGCCATCGAGCTGAATTGAATTTGCTCTTAGAACAATGTTATGATTACGAACTGATCAGTAAATTTATTTTAATCAACATTTAAAGCAAAGCTATGTTCTTTGAAAAATACTGAATTATAAACACACAGGGTGTTTCTGTTTTCATAGTTCACACAGAAATCTGTCAGCCTGAGCCCCAAAAATATCACCAGTTAAGAATAAACGAAAGTTTTGTGATCATGAAACTTTGCTTATTGGACTGAAGCAGTTACGTTGGTTACTCGGGGTAAGTCCCAGTAGCATGTGTGCTGGAGTCGACACTTAGATATATATCTAAAGTCACTTTCAACATTTATTCTTCAGCACCCAAATAAATAGTATATAAGCATATTCTTTATTTCTTAGCATGTGAAGAGACTTTGATAAATTGTGAGGATGTAGGCCACTCCCAGATCCATGTTGCGGAATAGACCGTTACCTGACTGCGATGGCCTATGTCTCTTTTTGATTCATGATCCGCGAAGGTTATTTGCTTAAGCGAATGTAACTAACCCAACTAGAATTGGAACTCTGCTCTCCGATTTCTTATCTATTACACCACCCGCACATTCATACATGCATATAGTTTTGCATAAAAAATTTTATTAATCTTCAGATTTTTTTTCTTTACTATTTTCATTATTTGCTTCATTAGTAATTACTCGTTTTATCATAAGGATTTCATATTGCGTAATGTAATTTACTCAATGTGTTTCTATATTTTTTCGAAGATCATTCCGTACGTTATGGAATAAACCTCCACTGGAAATATATTTCCCTCTGGTATAAATAGATGGATTACAATGAGGAATATATATATATATATATATATATATATATAAGGACCTCAGTGTCGATGCTGTGGTGACATGCTAAAAATTGCCAGAATCGGATTACACCAGTGACGTGAACCATGTCACAACTTAAGGGTCGCAGAGTAAGCATGTGCAAGATTCTGAGAGAAAAAATCCTTTGCAGTTCTGTGTATATTTTCTGATACTAACGGTACAAGTAATAAATATTAGGTTGTTTGTAAAATAATGTCCGATTTTAGAATAAAAAAAAAATGTTTTAATATATAATTTTAATTGTCGCACATATTATATAACTCATTCCTAATGATTAAAGTGTACTCTTAGTTACCACCCTCATCTTGAACATGAATAAAAAAGAAAAGATGTCTTTGGATATTTCAGTTGGAGTTGCTTACGGTCTAATTCTAAATAAACATCAGTAACCAACCCTTAAAGTCTCGTCAAATAATGGATGAACGTAGTATTATCAGTAAAGTGTAATTTATCCGTTATAATATACATTCTATTTAAACTAATTATATTCACCTCCGTAAATTTTTACACGGACATATGGAAGCTGATTATTTGTTAGGTTTCATCAAGTGGAAACATTTCTTATAACGATACAATTTTTAATTTACTGCACTTCGTACATGAAATCCGTTTTCCAGATGAAAATGTGAAAAAAAAATTGTTTAACGTTTTCTTTCCCTATGACTCCATTGAATTAACCTGAACAGATGTAAAAACTTTTTTTTTCCGCTTTGTCATACATCTCTCCTCTAAAACAGTTCTTGAAAATCACTCATAAAGCAGATAATTCTAACAAAAAAAAACAAAAGAAAATTGGTGGGGGGAGTCAAACCGAAAGAAAGTGGCCGAGTGGATTTTACGTTAATTTTACGAACAAGGGAAGAATAAAAATGCCTCTTCCTTCTTCTTTGTCCCGATCATTTTCACTGCTGGAATCTGATCATTGCTTTTCTTGTGGCAGTATTAACAAGCTTAAAAGAGTCAGAAGTTGTTAAAAATTATCAGCGGGCTTTTCATTTATCATGCGTCGGATTGACTAGAAGCGCTTCAGCGTCTCTGATTGTTTAGAGTTGTTCACATTGTCTGTCTCTCTCGACTCCACAAGATATTGTGAACTATAAACTGACCCAAATAGACGCCAGCGAAGATTCGAGGGCAATTTCGCTCCTCAGGCAATTCCGGAAGTTTCCTATAAAAATTCCGAAATCTGTCTGAATCCCGACAGCCAATGCCTTGGATACTGCCCTAGACCATGCGCTTTATCAGTTCGCTTGACTGGGATCACCTTTTCTCTTTTGCAACACTTGCGTTTGGCATTCGTTTCAATAAGGACCCTACATCATATGTCTCATCTATTATAAAAAATAATATTTCTTTATTCAATTCTTCGACAATAAATGCCACCAAATTTTCTAATCTTCTTACGAACGATTCTAAGAGACCCCGTGCCCTCGTCAATGCTAAGTTGATCGAGGGTGATGTCTCAGCTGTAGTTAGTATAGTATCGGATGAAGCCAATACTCTAACTACAACACCAGAAGTTCTCACAGCTTTCTGTCGGAAAACATGCTGCACTACCATCAGATGAAAGAGTTGTTCAGATGGAAAACAATGATTCCATTATTGTAATCTCGAAGGAAACTATGGTTGCCGCTCTGGGGTCTTTCTTGTGAAGCAGCAGTGTCGGTGTGGACGGCGTACGACCTGGTCATATCAAAGACTTAATGACTGCCTGCACCACTGAATCTAGTGAACATTTGAAAAGACCCCTAACAGCTCTTATTAAAGCACTTCTCCGAGCTGAGATACCCCAACATGCTCGCGACTTAATATTTTTAGGCAACTTAACAACTTTAGAAAAAAAGACGGAGGTATCGACCTTATCGCTGTTGGTAACATTTTTCATCGACTCGCAACAAAAATCGCATGTAGAGTTGTGAAGAAGATAAGGCATGAATTGCGAACTATCTGGCTTGGGGTAGGCATACAGGGCGGATGTGAAGCCGCTGTTCATACCACCCATATCAATTTTCTAGAATACGTCACCTGTTTCCCCACGTATCTTATTAAAGCTGGATATGAATAACGCTTTCAATAGCATCAGAAGGGATCATACCCTGGAAGTTTGCCATCAACGGACTCCTTCTATATTTATACAGGCTCATATCTTTCGTATAGTCATCCAAGTAGGTTGATCGCTTCCGATAATATTATCTTTTCTGCTACCGGGATCCAGAAAAGGGATCCACTTAGTCCGCTACTATTTGCGATGACTCGTAGCTCATTCGATCACCTCTCCTTTCAACATACGGCATCTTGACGATGTAGCACTGGGAGGACCTGTCGAGGTCTTACGATTTTTTCCTGCTTTCTCTGCTTTGACTTGAGATTAATTCGTCTAAGTCAGAGATAATAAATTTGAATTATAGTACAGGTGATTTTGAAGATATCTACAAATGCCCTAGGAACGATTTGAAAGTTTCGTCCTTCATAACCATAGCAAATTTGAGATAGCTACTTACGTATTGAGCATTGTTTTTTTTTTGTTTTTTTTGTTTTAAATAAAAACGAAAATACTAAAGAACTTGAGATTATTAAGCTAACGTGTTCTTTCCTATTTTTCTATATATTTGCACACACACACACACACATACACATATAGATAACTATACTCGTTTCGAAAAAACCTCGAATTTTTAATTTGCCAAAAATCAAATCAATCTCGATGGGAAAAAAAGGTTTTAAAAAAAGAAAGAGCTACAAACATGAAAGTCTATCGAAAAAAATCGCACAGATGCAGGTTTGAAGCCCAAAGAAAAAACCCCGATACGAGTAAACAACTAACAAAAGAGCAAAACTAGATAAACCTAGTGAGCCAGACAAACCTACCTAGGTTTCATCTAAACGGATCGTCAAGGAAAGTGGCTCACTAGGTGTGTATATATATATATATATATATATATATGAATCATTCATACAAAAAGTAGATTAGTATAGTTAATGATATAAAATGGCGAAAGATTTCGCCATTTTATATCATAAACTTTACTAATCTACTTTTTGTATGAATGATTCTTTGTAATATAAATTAAACTGGACACACACACACACATATATATATATATATATATATATATATATATATATATATATATATATATATATATATATTATGAAATGGACAAAGTCCGACATTTATTTTAAACGCTCCTGCTTATTATAAACAGATCATTAAATATTTGTATCTATAAAAAGAACGTATAAACATAAAAAATGTCTTTATATATATATATATATATATATATATATATATATATATATATTACAGGTATATGAAGTATGGAAGCGTCTAATTATAATAAAATTCTTACATAACATTAAAATAGGAAAGAAAGAGTCTTAAATAAATTTTACCGCATATCATACTATCATATTTGATTTCTGTCAGACATTTTCCATTGTCTAATATTATACTACCTAGATAGTCAAATATCCACACCTGCTTAATTTTTTTTTATATTTCTCTCACAGAATTCACATCTTGGGCTGTCCCTTTTGCTAAACACCATGTATACCATCTTCTTAGATTTAATGATTATCTTTTTTTTATTCCTGCTTTCATCGACTAACTTGTCTAATAATACTTTTAACTTTTCTTCTGAATCTTCTATCAACGCAATGTCGTCTGCCTAGCGTATATTGTAAAGGCCGATTCCGCCACTGGTAAATCCTGGTAGGTCTTCTAATCCTCTTAGAATCATCTCGCTGTACAAATCAAATAAATCCGGGTAGAGAACACATCCTCCCGTACTCCTCTTTCTATTTTGGTGGACTCGCTTAACTCATTCTCTATTCGCGTGCAATCTCTTTATTCTCAGTACAGGTTACGGATTATTTGTATATGTTTTCCTTCCCACGCCATTGTATATAATAAGAATAACTACCAACCAAACCAAAGATACAGAATATTGTAGAAGCGCACACACATTTAAATACTTGCATAAGTAAATGCACACACATGTCACAACGGGCTCGCAAACGGACATTTGGAATATTTCCCAAGTGATGTGTGTGTGTGTGTATATATATATATATATATATTCTTTCAAAGAATATATATAATGTCAGGATTTAAGAACTGGCTTAACTTACTCTTATCTCCAAGAATTTGTCAAGTTATGATTAATAAAATCAAATAAAACAAAACTTGCATATGTTTAACCATTTATCTTTAGATGATCAGTTCTGCAAAGTTACTTTTTTATCTGCCATTTTCTTGCTAGAAAAATCATTGGAATATTATGGAAGTTAATTTTATAAGTGACTCCCAACTTTAGTTTGAGTCTATTTTCCAAAAATGATCCATATAAAGTGAACTTTCTTATCGTACAACACAAATTCAGTCAAATTAACATCTCCTCTGTCGTGATTTGTTTGTTTTGTAATGTCAACGAATACTCGTTGCCACTTCCGTAATGCTCGTTGTAGTAGACACTTTGTAATGGCAGATACAACTATAGTAACGCCGCTGAACAATACTGGTGTCAGAAGCCTTTGAAAAACAGTCGCACTAATAGTACTTGGTCCATAATACTCGCTCGAATAGTAACCACCAAATAGTGATCTGAATAGTAATCCGTATAGTGATCACTTAGAGACACGCTAATTCCCATATATACATTTCCTTTAACATCACGTGATCTACTTATGCAAAATGGGATCGCCTGTGTTTGCTCTCTGGTGATTCAGACCTTGAATAAAACCTCAAAAAGACTGATTCACTGACAGTAGACAAATCACAGTCTGAATGTCCAAATAAACGGAATTGAAACTGAAGTGATTGATATTTTATGTCTTGTTCGCAAACTATCTTGTAAGGACGTATTGTAAGTTTTTTGTAATGTCAACGAATACTCGTTGTCAATTTCGTAATGCTCGTTGTTGTAGAGACTTTGTAATCTCAGATGCAACTATAGTACGCCGTTAAACAATATTGGTTTCAGACGCCTTCGAATGACACTTGCACAATAATATTTACGCGATAATACTCGCTCGAAAAAGTAATCACCGAATAGTGATCCGTATAGAAAACGGTGTAGAGAAGGGAATAGAGAATAGCGGTCCGTATAGTAAGAGGATAAAATAGAAATGCAATCAGTTAGACGTCACGCTACTTCCATATATGCGCTTCCTCAACGGTCACTTGGTCCACCTAATTCAACAATGGGATAACCCGTGTTTGCTCACTGGCGATCTATGTTCAAACTCAAGTATCGGCAGTGACATTTTATTCCTATATAACAGTTTTTTTTTTTTTTTTTATCAGCGACACCCAAACTTTGAATAACGCTAACAAAAATGTCAAACATTTTTTTCTTTTATAATTTGTTTCTAAAGATTAAAACAATTTGAATCGAAGCATGTCATATTATTATTCTCGGAAAGATATTTAAAACGTCCCTTCATGCTTTGGTCATTAATCGATTTTGGCACCATATGACAGACACAAAATATTAATATTCGACACGACTTCACTTGGATTTATCAGAAAATCATGATCTAAAGTATTATTCCTATGTTTTGGGAGTACTGATTCCATTTCAATACAGAAATATATTAAAAATGTAATATTTAAACACTTTTCGGGAATTTTCGATCTACACTTGTGGACTAGTTTTTCTCGACCTAAACCAATATTATGAAGAAACTCACTGTTAGCAAGACGGTAAATGTGCAGAGTACTTACCTCGTGTTGCTGAAGTCATTATTAAACAATAAAAAGCTTGTTATCTTCTTTTCATAGTTACAATGGTCACTTGTCAGTGTTACCACGTGATCCCTGAAGTTGTATAAAAAGAACAGAATACCTGTCTATCGTTCTTTAATATAAGTTCCATGTTATGGAGTTATCAGAATTTTATACGTCGCGGAAAACGGCAGTCTATTTCGCAAATTAAAGTAAGTGCTATTCCTTTCTTTTCCTCGACCTTAGTCTCTGTTCGTTTTGAGTATCTCGGCGATATATTTTAAGTAAAAATTGTAATAGTTCTCGTTACCCACAGATAACTTTAATGCAGTCCCCTAATTTAGATGAAAATCATTCAGGGAGCTCAAAAACCACAAATGTCCACTTGGCTCTATTGAGAAAGCCCTATGTGAATATACCATATGTGCACACTTTACATCAAACATTTTTTCTCTGAGAAGACGTAATTGTTTCATTTTAGATCCGAGAGTGAAACTTGTGAACATGAGAGAATATCTCTCAAAACATTTTGAATGGATGACATTCAAACTGTTCAGAGTAATATTCCGATAAAAAAAAACTACAGTCGAATCTTAGTTGTCGATGGGGTACTGAAAAATACTCTGAGATGCAGATGTATGTTTTTATATATATATATAAATAAAATGTGAGGTAGAGAGTGATAAAATACAGTCATTTATATATATATATATATATATATATATATATATAACCAAATCGGTATATACG